AGAGAGAATATTAAGCCAGTATCTTTCTCGTAAGTTGTTTTTGCTATTGAATGTTATAAAAATCAAAGATTGATCCCAAATTTGAGAGGGGGAGTCCTCTATTTATAGTTGCTGAATCCAAGGTAATGATTACAAGTCTACAAGTGGGTAGGTGTAATGCAAGTCCTTTTTTTGTGGCCCACTGACTGATAACTTAAGAAATATCCTCAAATTATCTAGGGCTTGGACATGTGTGCGGTCCCCATTCACTTGTAGACAAAACCTGAATCTGTTGGATTGGTGACAGCCGTATCCTCTCTGTCTTGGGCCGAGGTGGCAAATCCTGGATGGTGTAAAACCTTCCTGAACTCTGATTGGTGCTTACTGATGTAAGCTTACATCAGCCCTGATTTTTTAGACATAACTTGATACTATGTCATCATATCATTGTGGTACATAGCATTTCTCAATAATGTCATGCTTACCGGAAATAAATTGTCAGCACATAATTATCTTTTTTTAAGGATGCACCTGAGCAGTTGCTTGCTTACCATGTAGTTGGATAATTTAAAAAACAAAACAAATTATCACCAAGGTTGTAAGCTTATATGAAGTATTGATAACACAGTTAATTTGTAATAATTTTAATCGATTCTTTTTACATTGATAACGAAGTTATATACTGTTAAATTCAATCAATAACTGTAAAGATATTTTTAAATATTAATATTTTAATATAAAAAAATATTATTATTCGAATTTGGTCCTCTTAATTAAATTTATCAACTTCCTAATCATGACGATATACTTTTTACAGTTTCTGTGTTATTTTCAGGTTCAAATTTGGTAAACAATATTGAGGAAAATTTCAACTTCTAGAATATTTGAAGCAAGTATTAAGGATTTTTTTTTTTTTTGGTCGCACTACAATTAATTAATGAGAAAGTAAAGTAAATGCATTTCACCCTTGCTGAAACATTGACATATTTTCAGTGATCTATTTTTATTGTAAAAAGATGCACAAAAGACTTTTTTTCATTCTCATGTATTAGAAGGTGAGAAAGATGTAGGCTTACTAATTGGAGGAACGTACGAAATACAATACAAGACAACATACATGATGTGGGCTACATATCAGAAAAAGTTACTTCTTTGGAATAGGTATGCATTTGACGATCCAACTAATTGGCCAAGAGGCAGCTGCGATTCCAATACAGGTACCCCATTGGCCCCAGTTCAGCCTCTGTCCACCCCAAACCTTTTCAGATATTCCAGAATCATTATTTGAAGAACAATGGTAATCCCAACAATCCCCAAAAACAACTTGTTCTTGTGGACTCCCTGAAAGACGTTTTTCTTTTCCAGCTTCTTGCGTTGAACTCTCATTAGAGACTTAAAGCACAAATATATTGAATGTCAAAGTGTCTTTTAGATTCTCTTTTAGACCAAACAACGATTCACCTCTGAACTGTAAGATTTCTGGATGTTGGTGTAGACACATCTTCCCCATCGCAAAACCGTGGCTATAGAAGCAAAATTATCATCCATGATGACAATATCTGAACTCTGCTTGGCCACTTCAGTCCCTTAAATTGCCATGGACAGTCCAATATCTGCTTCCTTTAGAGCTGGTGCATCTTTTCAGAAAGGAGAGGACCTCGCCATCAGTATTCAGAGCAACCCCTTGTTGGATAAATGCTCATATAAGGACAGAATATTTCTGCTGCTCCTTTCCAGTGAATGTGGATAGAGTTGTCTGTTTTCTTCCTCATCAAAACCCCACAACATTTCTTTTCTGAGTCGAAGGCCTCAAGTTGGAGAACAATGCAACTCTGCTTTGTTTCCTCCATATCCATGTACAATTCCTAGGCAATAACTACATCATTGACAGGTGTACGGCCACTACGAAATTGAACGCTTCCATCACTGTTGTATCACCAGAGAAGTAATGGAACAACAAGAATAGAAAAACAAAAATAGCAATAGCACCTCCAACTATGTCTACCAATGACATTATTTTCTCTACGTGAGCTTTAAAAGGTATCTGTTCACTTGTCTCTCGACTGATTTGGCTCATCATTTGCCCCCATGAGGTGTTCATGCCCACTGATGTTGCAATCATACGACCATACCCATCAACCACCTTTGTGCCAGAAAACAAAAATGGATTTTGATTGCTGTTTACCTCCACATACTCGCACTCCCCTGTTATGCTTGATTGCTCCACTTGTAAAGAATGCCCACCTAAGAACAATCCATCAGCAGGAACTTGATCTCCCATCTTTAAGCATATAACATCTCCAACAACAGCTTCCAGTATTGAAATTTCTTGGCGCCGGCCACTTCTAACCACATCAATTTGGATACTGTTTCTGACTTTTGAGAATAGCTTGTCCAATTTTCTAGTTTGACAATAGTTACATAAAACTGAGACTGCAATATAAATAAAGACAGCAAGAAATATGCTTCCTCCATCTTGCCATCCCTCTTTCAGTCCATAATCTTTCATTCCCAAAGCAAGAGAAACAGCTGCAAAGCCGAGAAAGATTAGAATCTTTAAACTCCTAAAAGCTTCCGCAACAAAACTGAAGAAGCTCTTTATTGGTGGTTCCTCATACGTGTTTGAACTAAATACGTTACGTCGATGTGCTGTGTCTTCATCACTACCACAGATTCCACCATCAAATTTTGTTTTAAGAGCAGAAGCCACAACGCGAGTCCCTCCAAAATTCAGAAGCTGCTGGAGATTTTTCTCCTTCACAAGCTTGGTAAGGCTTATCTGGGAGATTTCAGGTTCTAGTTTAGTATTGATTCTCACTGTAGCATTTTTGGCCAGAGACAATAAGCTCTGCAACAATATATTTTAGCACAAGCTGAGCGCCATTTTCTCTTGGGTGTGCTAAGAGTTCCATTAACATTCAGTAAAAACTTTATGCAAACAACCGTTTCAGAGAATGGGGTAGACATGGTGCTTGACCAGAGCGCAGAGCCAAAGAAAAGATAAAAGATAACATAGAACTTTTTATCAAGGTGCATGCAGAGTGAATATATACCTTTCAACATCTAATCACTTTAAACATTTTCCTTGGCCATGAAACGCTCAAGAAATTTCTTCAAGCTTGTATTAATTATCATTTGCCTTAGTGCAGCTTGTCCGAAGCAGCAGAAGTCCTGATCCCGTAACCCACAAGCTGAAACAAGAACTCAAACATACTTTAGTGTGTTGAATGTGACTGTATTCTTGATACTCCGAATACAAGCTGGCATATATTGTTATGAGTGACAATATTAAATGAATTTTGATTTTTAAAAAAAAATATTTCTTTCGGTATCTAATCACTTTCTTCTTACTTCCCATCGATTTGATACGATCCTAAGGTTTTGGTATAAGTAACATTCAATCTAGTAACCCTCAAGTGGTTGGCCTAATAATCAACAAGATTTATTTCCTTAGACTTTTTAGGTCTGAATTACCTTGGGCATTTCTATCACATATTTGTGGCTTAACTTAGAGCATTGAACTTGTAAGGTGTTTATTAGATTTAAAAAATTAGTTGAAATGCATACAAGTTAGTCCACATATGGTCATTTAAAAAAAAATTCAATCTAGTAGAATTTTTTTGGTAACAATACGATCATTGTCATATGATTACTGTTACTCCCATTACATGGTGTGGGTATTCCAGTTTTCCATCAATAAACTTTATGAAATTGTAGAAAATATTTTGAATATTATAAAATAAAAATTAAATATTAAAATAAAATACAATAAATTAAAAAAGTTCAAAAGTTCAAAAATTAAAAATTAAAAATTAAAAAAACTTGCTTGAATCCCCTGCAATCTACTCTAGTGGCGGCCCAGCCCCACTAAAAGCCACCCCAAACGCAGCCCACCCATCCGCAACCTATCCCCATCGCACAGCAGCTCCACATCGTCCCTCCTCACTCCCACACCATCCTTCTCATATTTGTGTTCAAGTTGGCTTTCACAGAAAAAATAGGGACTAATGTTGGGTTGTTGTTTAGAAGGGTGGTAATAGGATAGACTGAAAATGAGCTAGGCTTATTTTACTTATTCAGCTCATGCAGGTCGTGCTCATGCAGTTCGTTTAAGTAAAGCTCATGCAGTTTGTGCTCATGCAGTTCGTTTAAGTAAAGGTCATGCAGTTCGTTTTAAGTAAAGCTCATGCAGTTCGTTTAAGTAAAGCTCATGCAGTTCGTGCTCATGCAGTTCGTTTTAAGTAAAGCTCAAGCAGCTCGTTTTAAGTAAAAACAGAGTCTGTTTTACTCTGCTGACTTATCGTGTAAACTTTGACTTTGACTTTGTTCACCGTTCACCCTATATAAGTGAACTCATGTAAAATATCTCAGTAAGAAAAGAGTAAAGTTTTAGCTCACACATTTTACACTCTACTTTGATTTTTATGCTAAGTTTCTTTTTCTGCAATTCTACTTTCGCAACTTGGTATCAGAGCCACTGACCAACATCGGAAATGGCTGATTCCTCTTCAAATCCATCCTCTTTTGATAAATCAAACAAGAATTCAAGCTCTAAGAAGATCTTCGACACAATCAATTTCACTAATCATTCATCAGTTGCTTCATCCACGCTTCCTGTGATTTCACCAAAGCTAACATGCGATAACCACCGATTCTAGAAATCGCAAATTCTTTTTGCTGTAGGAGCTCATGATCTCGAAGAACACCTAACGGGACTAATTTCATGTCCAGCTCCGTTCGTTAGAGTTCAATTGAACAACTCAAATTTAGAGGTAACAACAAAACCTAACTCAGAGTTTACTCTTTGGAAGAAAACAAATAAACTGTTAATGAGCTGGTTATTGTCTTCAATTTCGGAGGCAATGTTCTCTGTAATATCGAAATGTCAAACTGCCAATAATATCTTGCTTGCTCTAGAAAAGGAATTTTTAACTGAGTCCAGAGCAAAAACACTACATGTTAGAAGTCTCTTGCAAAATACAAAGAAAGAAAGTATGAGTATGCATGCCTATTTTCTAAAGATGAAAGGATATGCTGAAATTTTGTCTGCCAGTGGTGTTGTTATTTCTGATGATGAATTGATAAACTACATATTAGACAGACTTGATTCCGAATATGATGCAGCAGTAGTAAATGTTACCACTAGGCTTGAATCCAGAGTTGATCCTATAATAGTTCAAGAAGCACAGATTTTTTTGCAAAAGTTTGAATTACGGTTGGAAAAGGCAAATAGAGCAATGAATTCTATGGTACATGCTGAATTTCATAGTAGCTTAGCAAATATTGCTAATTTGTCTACTGATAATGATGCAAAAAAAATTACAGTATGGACAGACTTCATCCCAACTTTAGGGTAGTGTTACTCAATATAACAAACCAATCCTCACCTATATCACAGTCTCCAAGTCTTAGTTCATTCTATTTTCCAAATACACAGAGCTCACCTATATACACACCCCAACAAACTCAGTTTTTCACACCACATTTTTCTGGAAACTATACTGGTGGCAGAGGCAGAGGTCGTGCAGGAGCTAGAAATAGTTCATATGCCAAGTATGTGGGAAAACAGGTCACTTGGCTTTAAACTGTTACCATTGCTTCGATGTGAATTTTACTAGGCACAACTCCTTAATTAGGAGCAACTTTAATCTTGAAGTATTTTCAAGACCACCTGACCTTAACTATAGAGGACATTATACTTCTTTACCTTCTCAACACTACTCACATAGTGTTAATACAGTCCTCTCAATGCAGCTTCAGAATAATTTCCAGTCACAGTCTCTCTCAGCTGCTGGTCATTCTTCAGGCAGTTTGGACACTAATTTCGGTACTTCACAGATGCATAATCAAGCCTTCATGGCTCAGTCACAGAATCATAGTCGACCTCTTACAGCAATCAATTACATTGCTACTCCATCCTCAATCCAAGACACTGCTTGGTACATGGATTCTGGTGCAACAGACCATGTTACCTCTGATTTTTCCCAACTGACTTCAAGTTCCAACTACATGGGCAGGGAACAGCTTCAGGTGGGAAATGGTGCTTTCAATTACACATACTAGTTCTACAGTTTTATCTTGTGTTAATAAAGTGTTGCATTTTAAGAATGTATTATTTGTTCCTCATATCACCAAAAATTTACTTAGTGTTTCTAAATTAACTAGAGATAATGATGTCTTTATTGAGTTTTTCACTAATCATTGCGTGGTAAAGGACAAGTCTTCCCAAGCCATTCTTCTGCAAGGAACACTTAAGTTTGGCCTGTATCAGCTTCAGAGTTCAGCTTGCTCTACTCCTAAGTCTACTACAGTTTTGGTTTCATCCTTTAATTCCATGCCAAGTCATTGTCTTGCTTCGTTTCCTTGTTATTCCAATAAGGATCCTAGTAATCCTATGAATAAACAACCTGAGTTGTCTTCAGTTCACAATGAATGTACTTCATCCTGTACTCCTATTAAGAGTCAGTTTTATAATGCATGTAATAGTGTTGTTGAACCTAGCAATTTAACCTCTACTTGTGCCACTTCTATTATCAATAAAACTGATACTTCTATTCAACTTTTTCCTGTGCAAAAGACTGATTCTATGATTTGGCACAAGCGGCTATGTCATCCTAATAAATCCGTACTCACACAAATACTTAAACACTTACAAATATCATCCAATAACAAATATGATATTACCTTTTGTCAAGCATGCCAATTTGGCAAGATGCATCAGTCCACCTATCCTAAATCCACATTTCATGCCACCAAACCACTTGAACTGGTATATTCAGACCTTTGGGGACCCTCCTCTATCCCCTCTCCCAAAGGTTTCAAATATTACATTCAATTCTTAGATGATCACACAAGATTTACCTGGGTATTTCCCTTGAAAACCAAATCTGAAAAATATTCTGTTTTTACACAGTTTCACAAGCTAGTTGAAAAACAGTTTGCTGCTTCCTTAAAATGTGTTCAAACTGATTGGGGGGGTGAGTATAGGACTTTAGTTCCATACCTAAAAGCTCATGGCATCCTTTTTAGATATCCATGTCCCTATACTCATCAACAAAATGGGAGGGTAGAGAGAAAGCATAGGCAAATAGTGGAACAAGGTTTAACTCTTCTTGCTCAAGCATATATGCCTCTTAAATACTGGTGGTATGCTTTCCAAACAGCCACCTACCTTACAAATAGACTTCCTACCCCTGTGTTAGAAAAATATTTCCCCCTTTCAGATGTTATTCAAAGCTGTCCCCTACTACTCTGTTATACGAATTTTTGGCTATGCTGTTTATCCATTTCTTAGACCCTATAGTCAACACAAATTCAACTTTCATACATCTAAGTGTACTTTTGTAGGTTACAGCCTTAACCACAAAGGATATCAGTGTCTATCACCTTCTAGCAGAATATACATTTGCCAAAGTGTCACTTTTGATGAATCAGAATTTCCTTTCAAGTCTTTTACTGAATCAACACCACTTACATCAAACAATACCATGAATTCAGAGTCTTTTCCTTCTACGTCAGGTCATCCTAGTTGGTCTATTCCTGTCTCTACTCTACAAATTTCATCCCCAGTCAATTCAGAATCTACATGTCCTACTACACATGATCAGTTAAAAACATCAATTCTTGCACCTAACACAGTGCCATCCATAAAGTCAGTTCCTTCAGCAGTAGGTTCCTTAGCTTTAGACCCTTATCAGTGCACCTCTACATCAGCTTTCAGCCTTAAAGTTTCTACTAAATCCTTGCCTACACCATCTGAATTCTTGTCTTCACCATCAGCACCCACTGACACTACACAATCTGCTCCATATGATAGTGATCAATCCTTTAATACCAGAACCTTTGCTGATCCTGTAATCTCAGTTTTCTCCAACTCAGATTCTCCCAAATCTTTCTGTCACCTGTTACAATTTCCTCTCAAACCTCTTATGATACTATCCCTCTTATAGTTCAGCTGCCTCTAACTGAACCCTCTGTTCCTTCTACCATTAATACTCACCTTATGGTTACTAGAGCCAAAGCCAATGCCCATAACACTACCCTTCTTTCCACTTCTGCACTTGATACTGTAACTGAAGCACTTACACATCCTGCTTGGAAGGTTGCTATGCAGTCAAAATATGATGCTTTGTTGTCTAATAAAACCTGGGAACTTGTTCCTGCCTCATCCGAGATATAACCAGTTGGGTGTAAGTGGGTTTTTAAAATCAAAACCAATCCTGATGGCTCTATTCAGCGGTTTAAGGCCAGATCGATGGCTAAAGGATTCCAGCAGACCCTTGGTATTGATTATCTTGAAACTTTCAGTCCTGTGGTGAAGTCTCCCACTGTTAGAGTTATACTGAGTTTGGCTGTGAGTTATGGCTGGGATATACAACAAGTGGACATTAATAATGCTTTCTTGAATGGTGACCTTACCGAAAAAGTTTATATGGTTCAGCCTGAGGGTTTTGTGAGTCCTCATCATCCTTATCATGTATGTCAGCTTACCAAGGCTTTGTATGGTTTGAAACAGGCACCAAGGGCCTGGTTTGATAAATTAAAGAAAGCCTTTCTTGGTTGGGCTTCAATCATTCCTTGGTAGATCCGAGTCTGTTTATTTACAAAAAAGATGAGAAGATAATGTATGTATTGGTGTATGTTGATGACATATTACTCACCGGCAGTGATTTCAGCTTAGTTCAGCAAACTGTCACTGATCTGAATAATCGATTTGCTTTAAAAGCATTAGGTTCACTCAAATACTTTCTAGGCTTTAAGGTGACAAGAAGAAAGTCAGGTCTTCATATGACACAGGAGAAATATGCTAAAGACTTGCTGATTAAAACTAACATGCTTAACAGTAAACCTTGCTCAACTCCAATGGCAATTGGGACCAAACTTACCCTTGAAGATAGTGAACCATTTGAAAATTCAACCCTTTATAGGAGTACAGTTGGTGCATTACAGTGCTTGACACTGTCTAGACCAAATATTTCTTATGCTGTGAATAACTTGAGTCAATTCTTGAAAGCTCCCACTCAGCTACATTGGCAAGCCTGTAAACGATTGCTTAGATATCTCAAGGGAACTTTAGATTATGGTCTTCAGTTTAGCCCCAGTCATAGACTTAATTTGACATGCTATACAGATGCGGATTGGGCTAATAGTGTTCAGGACAGGAGATCAACCAGTGGATGTTGTGTTTTTCTGGGAAACAATCTGATACAGTGGTATTCAAGGAAGCAGAAGGTTGTGGCTTTATCATCCATAGAAGCAGAGTATAAGGCTCTTGCATAAGGGTCAACTGAACTTGCTTGGTTTAGCAGCCTATTTTCTGAAATTGGTCTCATTTTTCCTGAAGTTCTTATTCTCTGGTGTGATAATCAAAGTACAGGGTCTCTTGCCTGTAATCTAGTTTTTCATGGAAAGACTAAGCACATTGAGTTGGATGCACATTATGTGTGAGAACAAGTCACAAATAATAGACTTAAAGTGCAATATGTTCCCACTGAGTATCAAAAGGCTGACATTTTCATCAAAGCACTTTCACTGTCCAGATTTGCAATCTTGCGGGAGAAACTGACTGTTACATCATCTGCTGAAGTTTGTAAAGCTACATAGGTTCTTTGATGACTGCTTGCTAGAAATTTGATTGGTGATAATCTGAAGTTTAGTTGGTTTTTTATGGTTGTTTGCTGGAAATTTGATGAAGTTTTTTGGTTGGTTGCTGTTTTGGCTGGAAAATGATGCAGCATGGTTAGTCAGGTGATACTTGACTGTTTGAAAGGTGACTCAAATTTGAGTAACTGGAAATGTGGAACTGGTTTAGTGTTAGATTACTAGAATTGTGAGTTGGTTCAGTTTTAGATTACTGGAGTTGTGAGTTTCTGCTTCAGGTTCTGTGACTGGAGTTACATGTGTTGTCAGGCTGTATCACTTGAGGAAGTTCAACTTGCGGGAAGATGTTAGGATTTAGTTTTGGACTTGTTGAACCTAGCTGACTATGGTTGACTAAAACTCGTAGTAGGTTTTGTTTACGGAAGGATGTTAGGATAGACTGAAAATGAGCTAGGCTTATTTTACTCATTCAGCTCATGCAGGTAAAGCTCATGCAGTTCGTGCTCATGCAGTTCATGCTCATGCAGTTCGTGCTCATGCAGTTCATTTTAAGTAAAGCTCATGCAGTTCGTTTAAGTAAAGCTCATGCAGTTCGTGCTCATGCAGTTCGTTTTAAGTAAAGCTCATGCAACTTGTTTTAAGTAAAAACAGAGTCTGTTTTACTCTGCTAACTTATCGTGTAAACTTTGACTTTTACTTTGTTCACCGTTCACCCTATATAAGTGAACTCATGTAAAATATCTCAGTAAGAAAAGAGTAAAGTTTTAGCTCACACGTTTTACACTCTACTTTGATTTTTATGCTAAGTTTCTTTTTCTGCAATTCTACTTTCGCAACTATGGCCATGGTAAGAGTATGTGGGATCACTGGGATGGTTGGTGGCTAGAAAAAAAGGAGCGTCCAAATATTATCGAAATTGGCTCTAATACTACTATTGGTATTTGAAATGATTTGGTGATGGGAGATTTGATTGAAACTGGAAAGGCTATTGGAAGGTCTTTGAAGGAAAAGTAGTAGAGATAGTTGAATAGCTATAAAATGATTTTATTAGGTGGATGGGTAGTTAGTACACGGCTTGGAAGCTTTGTTCTTTTTGTTTTTGACTTGACTTAAACTGAAGGACTCATTGCCCATTTATAGGCTTTTCCACCGCCATAGAAAGTAACTAGAATGGCGGTTTACATTTCCCAAAGTATCTGATTTTTCTTTACAACTTAATTCCACCAACTTATCTTTCAACAAATTTCTACACTAATATCTTGTAATTAGTTGCCTAGAATTCTAGATTTTGATAACCTCTTCTTTTACTGGATATTTTAGAAAAGGGAGCTGTCTCTTAACGCTAAGTTTTACAGAATGAAAGCCCTTACCACAAGTTATATAAAAGGCATCATGATTAGAGTTGCTTGCGGGTGTTCGGATGTCAGTGCTTTCCTTCTCTAAGACATCAAGGTGGTTCGAAATTTTTGAAGAATACATATCCGTGTGTGTTCATTGGCTATAGTCTTGTTCATAAAGGATTTCGTTGTTTGGTGCCGTAGACAAAGAGAGTTTATATTTCAACGCATGTGGTCTTTTATGAGGAAGTTTTTCCTTTAAAAGCTACAAACATGGCAACTCCTGATTTTGTTATTTCCGAATTCCCCTCCATTGATGAGTGGTTTGGATTAGTCGAAGAAACGGAAAATTCCACAAATAAAGCTCCCTCTAATTTGGAAAGTTCTGATGTTTCAGATTCTCTTTTCACTAATTGTTGTGACAATGATTTGCTTGCAGATACTGATTTGAAATCTGTAGATTCTATTCCCAAAAATCAAAATCATATAAATGTTGAAAATCATGCAAGTTCAAGTTATGCCATAGATCATGCCTTGAGTACATAAATGGCAACTTCTACAATCAGTCCACCACCAATGAATGGCGTACATGAATTTTCTAAAGAGCTTGTTGTTGACTTGCCAATTACCTCACAATCGAATTCAGCAAGTTTGGATTTAGATTTGAAAGCTTCAAATCCTGATTCTCCAAGCATTAGTCGACCGATTAGAACACGCAAGGCACCTATGCAAAATTATGTGACACTTGCCATTATTGGAACATAAAAAATGTCATCTTCCTTGCCAACCGAACCAAAGACCTTCAAGCAAGCACTAAAGGATTCTCAGTGGATTGAGGCTATGCAAGATAAGCTTCGTGCACTCCATGACAACAACACCTGGCTGCTTGTTCCTTGGCCTTCTGACGTTAATGTAATAGGCTCGACATTGGTTTTCCGTCTTAAAACTGAAGAAGATGGATCTGTTGATCGCTTTAAAGCTCAGTTAGTCGGTCAAGGATTTACTTGAGTGTCAGGCCTTGACTACGGCGAAATGTTTAGCCCGGTAGTTAAACCAACCACAATCTGATTAGTCATTGATCTCTCTTTGTCTCTTAACTGGAAAATGAGACAACTTGACATCAAGAATGCTTTTCTTCATGGTCATCTCAAAGAGACCGTTTACATGGAGCAACTAGCCGGGTTTATTGATTCCACACGACCTGATCATGTTTGCTTATTACTGAAGTCACTATACGGTTTAAAACAAGCACCTCGTGCTTGGTTTGATTGTCTCTAACAGTTTTTATTACATCTTGGTTTTTATTGTAGTAAGGCAGATTCTTCTCTTTTCATCGATCGAACAATAATCACTATTGTTCTTCTTGTTCACGTAGATGATGTAATACTATAGCCAAAAACAATGATGATTTTATGCAGAATTTGATTGTTCAACTTGGTCATGAGTTCGCTATTAAAGGTCTTGGGTGTCTTCATTACTTTCTGGGTGTCGAAATAAAGTTCTTTTGTGGAGATGCCTCTCTTTCTCAACAAAAAATACACTCATGATCTGATAGTTCGTACTAAGATGCTTAAGAGTGCACCAGTCGCCACACTAATGGCTATTAAAGATAAACCAACTTCTTACATATATTGATCCTGTGGATATTTCGGCTTTTTGTAGCATTATAGTAAGCTTACAATATCTTACCTTTACACGACTCAATATAATTCATGCAGTGAACAAGGTATGTCAATATTTTAGTCATCCCACCATGATTCATTTGAAGGCCGTCAAACGTATATTGAGGTATTTTAAGGGCACTCAAAAGAGTTTGGAGTATGTTATCTTTCTCAAAGTCCATTTTCTTTTTATGATTTTTGTTATGCTGATTTGGCTGGATGTCCGACTACAATGAGAAGCACAACTAGCTTTTGTGTATTTCTTGGTGTTGCAAGAAGCAGCCAATTGTTGCCCGTTCAAGTTCGAAAGCTGAGTACCGCTCCATGGCATCCACAACTGCAAAACTCACTAGGTTAATTAACTTTTTTATTGTGTGATATTGAGGCGACACTTTCCAAGCCTCCTCAGCTATTTTGTGATAATCTAAGTGCACTTTATATGTTCATCAATTTTTTGCTTGTCACCTAATTGGATCTTTTACATTAAAAAAAAAAAAAAAAAAAATTTATTTAAAAATAAAACAATAAATTACGCTTAGAATTAGTTTGAGATCGTGATAACTTTTTAAGTTCAATAAGCT